CTTAGCACGTAACCTCTTCCTCTAACTCAGCGGTTCTCAACCTGTAGGTCGCAACCCACAGGAACAGTATTAAAGGGTCGTGGCATTAGGAAGGTTGAGAACCACTGCTCTAACTTCATGGCTAGCAGTGTTACATCTTGTTGCCACACTCTCTTTCTTAACTCATCCATGGTTAAGGACCTCTGTTATTACAATGAGCACATCATCATAATCCAGGATAATCTCCCTCTTTTAAGGTCAAGTAATTAGTGATCTCAATTCTGTATGCAAATTAAATTCCTGTTTTTGTCCTGTAGGTGACGGAATGCATTCACAGGTTCTGGGAGTTAGAATGTGGACATCCTTAGGGTGCCATTCCTCTCCTACCACACCCCTTATGACTACCCCCCCAAATTAGACAACTATGTATCTGAGAAACACATCATTCCAGGGGAGGGTTACCATAGCAGAAGCTGGAAACCTAGCAAAAGAAGTTAAATTTGTATTTTGCATGTCAGAAGCTGAGGTCTAGATAGAAGATAAAATAATAATAACAGCAATAATAATAAAAAATGGAAGTATCTGTGATCTATTAGAGAATTAGCTTCTTTCCCACCCACAAAGAAATAAAGATCATGTGAGCTGGGGGAGGACAGGGATGCGGGAAGTCAAACAAGACAGCCTCATAAATGCTAATGAATCTCCTTAAAGGGGACCCCATGCTCTGTCCCCACCAGGCTAATGATGTGGGCGGCTGAAGGGGCTGAGGAGCAGCAGAAAATCAGGTGGGTTTGGGGACTGTGAAGGCAAAGGGACGAGGGCATCACTTGCTAGAGAGTGCAGGCTGGCAGCAAGCACGGTGGGTGTTCTTCCCTGGCAGGAAAACAGCCAACTAGGGATGCCTCAGGGAGGCTGCTGGACATTCCCCGTGCCCTCGGGGGTGGGTGGAAAAGCTATCTGGTAGTTAGAGCCATCTGTGGTGAGATGAAGACCAGAAGGCAGCAGATGCCAGGATAGACCATGTACCTGTAAATCAGGCGGGACCACAGAGGTCCTTACATATTCCAGAAAAAAAGGAAAGTGCTGGGCCAGGACTAGAGGAGACAACGGGTGCCAGACTAAGAGGTGATGGCTCAGCTCCAGATATCCTCTTGGCCCCCAGGCCTTGGGGGCACGTAAGCCCTCTTGAGCTTAAATGCTCTGTTAAGAGGTGGAGGCAAGAAGCCAAAATTGACTAGAATTGTTTCCACTAACAGTGGAATAGAAATGAAATGAAATTCGGTTATAGAAACATTATGGAAAATTAGATATGCTGTGCTCCTAAATTTGTGTGGCTCCAAGTATCATACCCACCAAATGTAAGTATCAGTAATGTGGTCTCATCAGCTCACACATAAATGACACTATAAATCCCAAGTCCTTGTCAGTTGTACTCTTTGATTTTTCAGAAAATCTATGAGTTCAAGAACTGTTGCTCCCCTTGGAAAGATTATGGAATGGAGGCTAATGAAGTTAACATAGGTTCCACAGCTGTAGTCATTTCAACAACCACATCAATGCTCGAGCCCAGTTCACTCAGACCAGCTGCTTTCCATGGCTTTTTACTGCAATCTCGCTTGTCTCAGCGGCCACTTTGGGAAAGCAAACCAAAGTGGCCCTGATACTAGCAATGGTACCAAAGACACAATCTTGGTCCTCCATCCTGCCACCTGGTGGCAAGACCTTGGAAAGTCACTCTGCTTCCTGATTCTCATTTCCACATCCGTGAGGGAATCTATTGCCCAGGTTTGTTGTAAGGGTGAGTTATTACACGTAGGCATGATTGGAGAACTCTAAAGTGTTCTAAAAATACAAGGCATTATTATTTTTCTAGCAGATGGAATTTCTTAGAAGGGAAGTATAAGAAAAAGTTTCTCTCTGCAGGCATGATGGAGAGTCCACAGAGGAATGAAAGAGATTTTCAATCTCAGTGTAAGAGTGGGTATTGCTCTTTCTTATTCTGAAGGTACAAAGAAGAGCCTTCCTCACATCTATTGAACCCAGAGGTTGTAGTCTTAACGTTTCACATCCTTAATCTTGGGAGGAAGGTCTCTGACAACCTCATCAGACTGTTGAATTTTCTCTTAACCTCCAGGGAATGAATGTTCTTTCTCTCTTTCCATTTTTCCAGTTTATGTTAATGAGAGGTAAAGAAAGACAATGCCTGCCTAGATGCACATGCATAAACACACACACACACACATACACGAGCATGCGCACACACACACACGCATAGACAAACATACATCTCTGCATTCTCAGGTTTCATTTTTATGGGACATTTGTCCTAAGGGAAAGGAGCTTAATAGTTTGGGAAAGAGCAATTATGAAAAAGAAGAAAGAGGCAAACAACCTAATCATTTCAGAAGAGTCAGTCTCATGTTTTGGAGACAACGTGGATTTGGAGCAGCCTTTTGAATCGCTTATCTACTGACCAAATCTGAGACTTGGGCAAATCCTCCTCTCCCAAACTAGGGGCTCACCTTTCCAATATGCAAAATGAATGGATGAGTTTCAGTACTTAGAGGCAGACAGCTTCCTCTGCATACTGACCCAGCATTGCGCACACCTGCTAATGTGTACTGACCCAACATCGTGCACACCTGATGCTGCTCTGTACTGACCCAGCACCATGCACACCTGCTAATGTGTATTGACCCAGCATTGCAGACACCTGCTGCTTCTGGGTACTGACCCTGTATTGTGCACACCTGATACTGCTCTGTACTGACCCAGCACCATGCACAACTGCTAATGTTTACTGACCCAGCATCATGGACACCTGCTGCAGCTGGGTACTGACACAGCATCATCACAGACACTTGATGCTGCTGTGTACTGACCTAGCATCACACATACCTGCTAATGTGTACTGACCCAGCATCACAGATATTTGCTGCTACTGCTGTGTACTGACCCAGCATCTTCAATGTCTTCTCTGTTGCCAACACCCCTACTTTTCCTTATGCCTTTGCCTATTTCAGGACCATGAATTTCAGGTGTAGCTGCCTCGGGCTCAAGCACTAGAATGACTGGTTCAGTCCCTCTGACCAGAAACTTTGCCGGAGTATGGACATGGGAACCAAGTTGACCCAAAAGAGATGGAGTGCTATTACTGCAGTTGGAGGGACAATGGGTCCTCTGCAGGACCCATTGAGCAGAGAGGGTACAGCTGATCAAAAATGGCACAGTGTTAAGGAAAGTAGAGCTCAGATAAAGAGGGGGTCCCCATGACATTATTTGAGCCCCTCAACCTAACTATCCCAAGACTTTCCATTTGAGCCAATATGTACTATATTTCCTCTTTTTGCCTAAACTAGTTTGAGTTTAGTTTCTGTTACTGATAATCCTAAGAATTTTGGTCAATAAAATATCCAATTATCCATACACCTCTGAAGATTTGTTGATCTAAGTCTCAAATATAGTTTTCTTGCATCATCTCATATTCTAGAAGCTTCTTCTTTGTATTGGTCTTCTGACCTTTGTTTACCTTCCAGCTGGTGTGTAGCTGCATTAAGGGTCAATTATGTATTCTATTTCTCTTGGGTCTTGTTCAGAGAACCTCGTCTACAGCAGGATTTCCCATCCCTAGGCCCATCCTTCCCTTTTGTTCTTCTTTCTTCTTTATGTACTGAGAGGAGTCCTGCTGGGGTGTTGAGCTGGATCAACAGATTCCTTGGGTTCTCCCTCAGTTTACTGGGAAAGATAAACTCAAAAACCAGTCTGTGTTGTTAAATGTCACAGGTGTGGAGCATATTGCAAGGGTACAAGTCAAATCTATCAAGTATAGAACATAAATGTCTTAACACAATAATCAAGTAAATGGGGTGAAAGCTATATTAATTAGTTTGATATAAGCACTTTAAATTGTATAAAAAAACACATTGTACCCCACGTATGCCTAAATGTATTCATAATCTATGTGTATATGACTTAATTAAAAAAAACAAAACCTCAAATGTCACAGGTGATTTAGTTAACATGGGTATGGAAAATAGCAGTGATCTCTAGAGGAGCACCACCACCTGTCTGGGAGAAGATGGCCATGTGGGGAAGAGGGAAAAGGCTTCACAAAGGAGTTGAACCTGGAAAAGTGTTCATATGCTTGCTACGTAGACTTGAGAGCAATTCAGAAAGAATGATACAAGCAAAGGCTTTGAGGCAATAAAGGCAAGTGTGTTTTGGGAACTGTATCTGAGTAGCTCCATTTGGCTGAATGTAGAATGAAGTAAAGGGGCTAGAGAGATAGGAAATGGGTCAAAATTGAATGCCAGGCTACACATGTACACACAAACACACATCCATTCTTGTACTAAAAGTTCATGGTCCTGGGAACTAGTCCCATCAATAGCGTCAAAGTTTCTAGGAGTGGAGCCCTAGAACATGCATTTTGAACAGGCCCATGGTCATTTCTATAAAATAAACCAAAAACTTGGGGCCTCCCTGCTGTACAGCAACACAGATCTGCTTCTCCCTGTCTCTATGCCTTTGTCGTCTTCTTAATGTTAGTTAACCCAGCCTCTGAAGCTAATTCCAACACCAGCTTCCCAAGCAAGCCTTCTACAAACCTTAGGTCTCACCTGAAACTTCCTCCTCTGAACCACACCAATATACCTACTCTCCATCCTAATTACAGGTTATTGATATGACCCCCACTGCATTCACAGAGAAAAGGGATACCCTATCTTACTTTCAAATGGACTGAAAGACTCTGGAGGCCAGTCACTCTCAGGGACCTACTGAATGGTAAGCACTTAAGTTATAACACCTTGTTTCATTAATCCAATAATTCCAAGAGAGAGTTTAATTTTCCCACTTCACAGATGAGGAAACCAAGTTTTCCTAGTCTGCTGAATGGCATCGAGGCAGGGGCTATCGGCAGTGTGATCCTCCTTGACCAGCTTCCCTTAGAGGGAGGGACCTCTGGCACATGACCTTAGCACCTGGGCTAGTGCCACGTTCCCAGGTCAGTGGGCACTCACCACACATCCTGAGGAGTCCACTTGGCGATCGGACACACACTTGAAGTTGCGCGTGCAGCCCCCATTGTTCCGAGAGCAGTCACGAACTGGCCCAAAGGAGGACAGCAGGTCATTGATGGTTTCAAAATATGTGGACAGCATCGCTTCTTCCCTTGGAGAGAAAGAAGATGGTTAAACCCAGAGATATCTGCATTGTTATTAAAAAAATTAATATGATTCATTACATTTGAAACTTTCACTTATTTTAGTGGTAATCAAGAACATAATGCAAGCTAAAAAAAAAAAACCAAACAAACAACAGCAATATCCCATCAAAGGGCATGGTACTAATGTCTTGCTGTGATAAAGAGAAATGGACTTACAACTGGGTAGCCTTTATTTCATTAATCCTCATTATTTTGGAAGGTAGGTATGAGATGTCCATTTTACCCATAAGTTAACTGTAGTTTAGAATGAAGTTTGCCCTAGTTCCATCTGAGTCCAAAGAGAAAGCTCTTCCCAGTACATAACACTGAACTTGCATCATATCTGTTTCTGAAGGTTCTAGAGTTCCCTATCAAGACTCTATAATTAGCACATTTCTATTCCAACTTTATGGATGCAAAACTGAAACTATGAAAGACTGTGGGACTTACCCCAAATCCCATAGTCTATGAACATCAGGGCCAGGATACAAACACAGGAAGCTGATTGTAGGACCCTAGGACATTATTTTTCAGACTACTGCATACATGTCACACCATCAAGACTACCAGCAAACACAACTTGAAAGTTAAGGGATTTCAAGGAAGTGCCTGATTTTCCCCAAATGAGGTTCTTAAAAGATAAGACTAGACTCAATACCATAATCCATGGATCTGCCCAAATTCCATAAGATAGAATTATATAAGGTGGGGGGCACAGATGAAAGTTTCTAGATGCCATTTTCTGAAGAGAAGGCCTCAAATAAGGAACTTCCTCACACTGGCTTAAGTGTGACTCCCATAGTTGTGGGAAGTATTAAAGGGGTCCCATGGGCAGTAAGCAGAAGCCCCCTTCCCTGACATATGCCCCGTGAGGCCCAGAGCTATAAGACAAGTGAGATGCACAGGCAGCAGGAAGATTCCCCTTCTCTCCCCCTCCCCAGGCTTGAAGCTCCAGATTTGGGTGTCCTAACTCATTTCCTGCTTCCCCTCTTATGCCCTCTGTCCCATCTTTCATACTGTCTGCCAGTGAACTTGGTAAATCCCAGCTCTAATTAGATACTCCTCTGATCAATGGCTTCCCGGTACTTAGAAAAGAAATATAAATTAGTTTCCTTGGCATAAAAGACTCTTCATAACCTGGTCCCCAGCTACATGTCCAGCTTCATTTACCCTGTCGTCACATCTGTATCCCCGAGCCAGGAGCTCTTCTCATTCCCTGAACACACCATCCCGAAAAACAGACTCTGCAATGGAAAGTTCCATACAGGAGATTTATTGAGGCACCTCGTGGGAGGTGCTCCTGTAGACAGTGAGTGATGAGGGATTTCCAAATGGAAAGCAGGTTTTCCAATGTGCATCTGAAGACCTAGCTCATCTTCCAGGGAGCTCAAGAGCTGGGCGGGCCTTTATGGATGCCCTGAGTTAGTGAGGCAAGGACGAAGGCCTCTGCATCCCCACATCAGCCAGTCACTGGCAATGGCTGCTATCTGGAAGGTGTGAGGCAGTTCCTTGACCCTGAAGACAAAGCCCAGTCACTTACAGTCACAGCTGGGGATCTGAGTGGAGCACATACATTCACCTCTCTGAACCCCTGATCTGGCCTTCTGTCTGATGCTCATTTTCACATTATTTCCTCAAGGAAATCCTAAAATTCCTTGAAAACTGTTCATACGCATCTATTCATTCACATGTCACACAAGCTTATTGGGTGTCTACTATGTTCTAAGTACCCTTCTAGGTCTGGGGATGCAGCAGTGACTTCAGACAAGATCTTCACCTCCACAGAGCTTACTGATACCTTCTTTGTGAAACCTCTTCTATCTCCCCTACTAGGATGAATTCCTTTTCTCTATGAGCATATTGTTTAATTCCACTATTTTATTGATCTTACTTGTAAGCTCCATGGTTTCCCAGAGCAACTATCAGTTTTTAAAGGAAAAGGCTCAAGATTTATTCTTCCCTCATTAGCCCCCAATACAGAGCACAGGAAGAGGATGTGCTGTTTTCAAATGGAATGAAGGAAACACAGGAAGACACGGGCGCTGTCCCCACCAGACAGTAGTTTCACCAAGAGCTATCCCTTCAGGCCACTTCCCTCCCTGGTCCCCAACTCTGGGCTCTTATTCAACCCTTCACATTCAGTGCTACAGGAGAAAGACACACAAGGTGAACAAGGAGCGGTGAGGGTTATCCCTGGCTTCCCAACTTTGTCTAGAGTGATGTGGCAGGTGCATGGAGAAGAGGATTAACAGCTCCTGAGAAGATGCTCTGGGGAAACCTGCCACTTATGAGTCATGAAGAATCGAGGATCCAGGGGAAGACACTGAAGGCTATTAAAATATTAATACCCTTAGAGGGAGAAGAAGGAATGGAAAGTGAGAGGAGAAGAGAAAGATAGAGGGAGAGAGGGAGAGAGGAACTAAACAGGTAGAGAAATTGCTAGAAAGAAAGAAGAGAAACAGAGACAGAGACAGATACAATCACCCAGAAGCAGATGAATAGATACATAAAGATGGACAGCTAGCTAGATATAGATGAACAGATAACAGATGATAGATAGATAGATAGACAGACAGACACAGAGATACACACAGGCACACAGAGGAGTGACAAAGAGAGAGAGATGAAAAGAGAAGCAGATGGAGACAGAGACAGTGTGTGAGACACGAGACAGTAGGAAAACAAAGAGAGGACAGAAACGGGAGTCAGAAACGTAGAGATTAAAAGAGACGACATTAAGAGAAACCGAACAAGGGCGTCAGTGTGTAGCGGAGAGGAAGAGGGGAGGTGAGGGGAGATGCAGAAAGACAGAGAAGAGTGAGGAGAAGACACCGAGCGGAAAAGCAAACACACGTACACAGAGACACGGAGAACAGCAAACCCCAGAGAAACGAAGAGAAGAGAAAAAGAGCCAAAAAATGGCACCTTCCTGCGGCGCTCAGACACTTCAGGCAAATGCGGAGGCTGTTCGCTTCTAAAAGGATTGGTCCTGCATAAACATCAGTTACGTGCGGGGACCATTACTTAAAACACAAAGATCTGACACCAGGGCTGCTCCCAAGTCAAGAGAAGTGATTGTGAAATGAAGAATATGAACAGGAGAGAGAAAAGGCGCTTAAGGCAGACGCTGGCGTTTTCTTAACACAGAGACTCAATCTCTCATCCCTGCTGTGGAGTCCAAGGTTTGAAGTCTGTTGGATGTTAGAGCTGCCAGACAGCAGTGGCCCAACAGGGGTCAATACAACAGGACTGGGGGCAGAAGGGGCCACAGGGGGGCATCAGGAGACCTGCGTGAGGGGCTCAGCTTTGTCAGAAATCACCACCATCGCATTACCTTCGTTGCTTATCATTTCCTGAGCGCCTACTATGTGCCAAGGCCGTGCTGAGTTCCTGTGCTCCTCCCTCTCATCTGCACACTAGCCACCCTCTGAGCTATAGTTTTGCTCCCCTTGTGCGGGTGGAGAAGCCAGGTCTCAGGGGAGTGGCGTCACTTGCTCTGGTCCACACAGAGATGGAGCAGTGAGGCCAGGCCACCACATGAATTTGCCTAACTCTAAGACCAGAGCTTTCCCTGTGCCACGGTTAAGTTTCAACAACCTGCTCTGTGTCTTGAGCAAGTCAGACTGTCACAATTGTAAAGCCAGCAGGAATCTGTGTGCATTCACTCTGTGTCTCAGGGGAGGGAGAGTGGGAAGGCCTGTGATGCTAGGCCTCTGTGCATGGCACATAATAACCTCAGTCCACAGTGGAATCAATGGGAACGTGGTGCTGACTCCAGCTGCTAGAAGAAATACTGCAAACTTAGTTTATTTTTATTTCAGAATATTACAGAGGTACAAATGTTTGGGTTACATGAAATGCTTTTGCAGTTTGAGTCAAGGTTGTGTTTCCCTCACCTGGATAGTGTGCATTGTACCCATTAGGTGTGACTTTATCCCTCCCCACTTGTCCCCTCACCACCTTTGAGTTTTACTACCAACTGTGCACATGGGTTTTGATCAGTTAGTTCCAATTTAATAGTGAGTACACGTGGCATTTGTTCTTCCATTCTTGAGGTACTTCACTTAGAAGAATGGTCTCCAGTTCCATTCAGGTCTTACAGAAGATACCAGTTCACCACTGATTTATGGTTGAGTAGTGCTCACGGTATACACGTACCACACGGCCTTAATCCATGCATGTATTGGTGGGCACATGGGCTGATTCCACATCCTTGTGATGGTCACATAACAACAGAAATGCAGTCTCTCGTAGTTCTCAAGGTTTGATAGAATACGGACCCTCTGTCAGCGTCCTTCCTTACCTGTGCTGGTGGCTCTCGGCAACCCTTAGCTTTCTTTTGCTTGTGACTTTAGCACTGCTATACATGGCCCGTTTTTGTGCCCTCTTGTGTTCTTAAAAGAACACCCACCTTAATCCATTATAATTTCATCTTAATTTTCTCTGCATCCACCCTATTTCCAATAAGCTCACAGTCTGATGTTCCAGGTGGAGATGAATTTTGGGGAGACACTATTCACACCAGTACACAGTTTGAGAAGGGCTCCAGCTCACACAGTGGCATCGAGCTGAGACTGGAACACCCCAGTCCTTGCTCTCACTCCAGTGCTCCTAAGACCACACTGTCCCTTCCAACTCCAGGCTTTTTAAACTCCACTGTGGTCTTTACAAGGCATGACAAATCTTAAGAAAAAGATCAAGATGAAGTCATTTTTCATGATATCTTTCCCTTAGTTTGAGAGGAGAAAAGACCAACGTTAAGGAAATCCTCAGCACACCCCGGGAACTGTGAGGAGAGCTTTTGACAGACATTCTCTCACCATCCTGCAGAGCAGAGGTCGACAGACTTTCTGACTAGGACTAGAGAGCAAAGCTCATAGGCTGTGCGCACCACACGGCCTCTGTCCCAGATACTCAATTCCGCATCTGAAATACACTAGTGGCCACTGACAATATGTAACAGAAT